GGATGCCTACGCTAGGTTCCATAGCCCCGGACCATTTCTTATGGGACTCCAAAGTACTGACGAAAAAGGCTTTCATTTCACATTACCTTTCCTATCATCATAGAGGCAACCTAAGTACGTCACAGAAAATGTAAAAACAAAATAAACAACACCTAAAGCTTTGGATCCAATTCTTAGACAGTTTCCTCCAAGCAGATGACTCCTCCTTTTCAGAGGCTGCGCAACACTGAGAAAAGGGCAGTTGCGGGTCAGCGTAGAGGCTGGGCACATTTCAGATCTGAGAGTCGGGAGCACAGGAAGGGGTCCGGGGACAGGCAGCAGGCAAAGTTTCCGGATCAGAGCTAGAAGTGCACCTGACACTCAGAGGCATGGCCGCTGCTCAGACTCCCCTCCGTCCCTCAGTAAAGGGCCCCATGCCAGCCTCTACCAGCTCGCCAGCAGCCTGCCAGGAAAAGGTGCTCACCTTGACAGGGAAGCACTTGTGTGTGTTTTGTCTGTAATCGCTTGACCGGTCTCGTCTGAGACGCCCTGTCCGCGTGGGGCCCCCTCCCGCCCCAGCGAGCCCTTCCCCCTGCCTCCCCCACCACCACCCAGGGTGCACGTGTGGGCACACCGAACCTTTTTGACACGCTGGCTCTGTGCCCAGCAGGAATGACTAAAGTTGCCACCTCTGGAGCTGGCACTCTGCCGTCTCACCCAGGGTAAACTGTGCAACACATTTCTTTCATTCCGTTTGCAAGGGGAAATTAAATTGAGGAATGAAGTCTAACCCAAACCTGGCATGCAAAGACTTGACCTTTGTTTTGAATACACTTAATGAGGCTGAAACCAGACTGCGTGGCCTCCAGCTGCCTGAGTCTCCATTCGGAGCCTGGAAAAGATGGGCAGCGGGAGGAGGTGGGGGGAGGGGCGGGTGCTGGGACCACGAGTACAATGGAGCCACAGTGTCCTACAGCAGGTAGTCCCCGAGGCAGCGAGCTGACTGGATCTACTGACCTCGGAGGTGTCCTTGGGCTTAAGGAGGCTCCACTGACCCGCTCCCAACCATGCTCTGCCCACCTGTGGGCCCTTCCCCCTCTCCATCCTCACCAGCTGGAAGGAGATGATTTCCTTGACATTAGGTGAGGTTGTATTGTTTTGTGGGAATGTAAGGGCTGTCTTAGTGGATCCGTCAGGCAAGGCTAGGCTTCGGTAACAAAATAACCTCGCCATCTCAGCACCTTAACACAGTGAAGATGTGTGTCCCAATCTTTCCAAGTCCGAGGCTAGTGGGGCAATAGCTTCCACCAATAGCTGCATCTCCGAGGTTGCCAGAGCAGGTGAAGGGAACTGAGGTTAATATAAGATGCTCTTAGAGGACAGGGTCTGGAAATGTTCTCCATCACCTCCCCTCTCATTCTATCTGCCTGAATTCAGACGTGGGATTCCCAACTTAACTGCAAGGGAGGCATGGGGAGGTCTTCCTGGGTGGTCGGAGAGAGGACACGGTGTGGTGAGCTTTGCAGCAGCATCTCTGCCACACTTATGATCCAACCTAGGGAAATCGTGGCCCTGAGGTGCTGATAATTAGGAAGAGCCTTGCAGGTGAATGTTAGGAAACAAGAGTCTAAGCTGTGGGGCCTGGCTAACCCTGGACATGCAGAGGTTCTGTTCTCCTTCTGAGCCATCCTCAGGGGCTTCAGGTCTGACTTACCCGGGAGATAGGACATTTCCTTACCCTGATACCTGCATGGAATTTCCGGTCAGAAGACTCAAGTTTTTTGTGTCTGAGCTTCTCACCTTCACACAAATGCATTCATCTCTTCTAGAAATATTAAGCGATTAAGAAAAAATAAGCATTTGTTTGTTCATTTAGCAAATGTGTACTGAATACCCTTCTATGCCAGACATTGTGTTAGGTGCAAGGATTACAAAGACAATAAACCTGGGACTGTTCTCAAGGTAGCAAATATACCACAGCCGTTGATGCTGGGAATGGGGTGGGCACCAGGTACCCGGGGTGGGGCTAGAAGAGGACTTCTTGCCTGATCTGGAGGAGGTGGGTCAAGGCAGCCTCCTAGAAGAATCAGAGCCTGAACTGAGTCCCAACAGACATATGGGGCTTGGCCATGGGAAGAGTGGGAATCCATCCCTGGCAAAGGAGCAACATTGACTTGGACCCCAAGCAGAGAGAGAGCTGATGCCTTCAGAAACCAGAAAGGTGTTTGGAATGGCGGGGCATTGCCTCTGGGGTGGGAAGGGTGAATGGTGACGCTGGAATCCTCAGGTGTCTCCTGGGCCATGCTGAGAGGTCTGGACGTTATTCTGAAGGATAAGATTTAAAGCAGCAGAGTAAAGTATGGTGATCAGATTTGTGCCTTAAAAAAACCACATGGGCAGTTGGGTGGAGAATGGGTAAGAAGGGCAAGACCAGAACAGGGACACTGGTGGAGATAATCTTTGTGAGTCGGGTGGTGGATGTGCAGAGGGAGAGGGGGCAGATTTGAGAAGCAGCGGGGGTCATAGAATCAAAGACCTCACTGTTGAACATGAGGATGGACATGGGGAAATGGGGGTGGCTTTCCCTGGGAGAGGGAATCCCTGAGAATGAGTGGGCAGAAGAACAATGAGTTAATTCTGGGACCTACGGTGTTGAGGTACCTGTGGGGCAACCATGTACTGGTATACTTCAGACTCTAGAATAGTAGTTATGGCACTTAGGATGGACAGGGAGCTGGAAATGTAGCCTTGAGGGTCATCAGGAAAGAGATGACAGTTGACGAGATTGTCCAGGGAGAGTGTGTAGGGTGGGACAAGATGTGGGGGAAATGGGGACCCCCAAGAATGAGCCGAGAAACAGGAGCTTGCCAAGCAGACTACTAAGGAATAGCAGAGACGTAAGAGGAAAACAAGGAGAGAGCATGATGATGCCTTGGAAGCCACAGAGAAGAGGTTTCTAGAAGGAGGGAGAGAGAGATCAGCCGTGCCAAATGTGAGAGGGGTCGAGAGAGACAAGGTGTGAGTGTCCCGTGGGATTGAACACTCAGGTCACTCATGACCTCAGTGAGAACAACTCCCAAGGACTGGCCAGAGCAAAAGCCACATCAGAACAGGTCACAGTGTGGGCAGGAGGGAGAAAAGTGATGAGAGCTATTTAAACAACTCTCTTAAGAGTAGTCTGTGAGGGGGTGGTCAAAGGGGGATTCATTTTTATGAATCATTTTTTATTATGTAATAATGGATAGGTGAAACAGTAATGTGGTGGCAGCAGGTAAGCCATGAGCATAACAATAAAATAAACAATGAGCCCCATGTCCGTTTTAAGAGGTCACGGTCAGCTCTGCTTCGGTGTGCCCCTTGTGTCTGGCAGAGGGCATGGTGCCCAGGGAGGGCACAGTGGCTGCCAGGGGCCCCCAACCCCCCAAGCAGAACAAAGGTAGCAGGCCACAAGGGTTGGGCTGGGGCTCTGGCTCTGTGGCACTAGAAGCTGGCAACTAGACCTGCTGTGCAAAGACCACAGTAGAGTCAGGTACAAATTTCTAAAATAGGGTAGCCAGTCCATCCACTAGCCAGTCACTCCAGAGCCCCCCACCATGACCCAGCTGGATTTGCAGGATAGGAAAATGAGCCGGGAGCTCTCCCTGACCCCCAGGAGCTCACACCCCAGACAAGAAGTGGTTGCAGAGCAGGCCAAATCACACCTGAGCAGTGACCGGAGCTGAGGATGTGATGCGCAAGGCAGACACCCGCCCTCCCCAGGCCGCCACCTGTGCCCTGACTCTGCCGTCACCTCTCCCCTCTGCCTCAGCCTTGCTGCCACCTCTCCAGCCGAGTCAGCCTCCCCCGTATCTTTCCATCCTTGGTGACTGAGGGTGACAGCGGGTCTGGGCCGGTCAAGGAACCAGGCAACTCACTGTAATTCTGAGCAAAACCCAGTTCTCACACCACAGGGGGCCCTGCAAGCATCCTCGGTGTAGAGTCACATGACAACGGGGCCTGCCCGTTAGGCATAGCCACGTCGCCGGGGGGGGATGTCTGATCTTACGGACACTGGGGTCTCTAGTGCCAGCAACTAAATCATAGGGTTATAAAGAACTCTGAACACCCAGGGGCTTCACCCCTTTCTAGACTAGAGCCCTACATGGAGCCACAGTCCGAAGGCCAGAGATCCTGGCCACCTTCTCCCTTCCTCTGACCTCAAGGATATTTCAGCCAGCTCCTGATTCAACATGGAGATGAGCCATACCCGGGCTGGGCTCACGGGCCCAAGGAGCGATTATTAGAGGTTATGGAAAAGGCTTGTCCACTATAAGTGAGCTCAGGTGCAGCTCTTTCCGTCATAGGGTTGGGAAGGCAAAAGTGCCTGCCTGAGGAGTCCATGGGACCTTGTTTTCATGGTGGGGATGGTGGGATAAAATCCCAACCCTAATTCAGATGAGCACACGCACGTTGCTCTGGGGGAGTATGACACTGCAGAACAAAAAGCATTTCTCTAAATTTTGTGTTAATGCTTATTTATTTTTGAGAGAGAGAGAAAGAGAGTGAGCAAGAGCAGGGTAGAGAGAGAGGGAGACACAGAATCTGAAGCAGGCTCCAGGCTCCGAGCTGTCAGCGCAGAACCTGACACGGGGCTCAAACCCACGAACCACGAGATCATGACCTGAGCCGACATCGGACGCTCAACCATCTGAGCCACCCGGGTGCCCCTGAATCAAAAAGCATTACTCTAAACTGACACTGGGTTCAAATCTTGTCTACTACACTTTTGCCACGTGATCCTGGACAAATCCTTTGTTCCCCCCTCTGTGACGTGGGGCTAGCGATCCATGCATTGTGGGCTTGCTGTGAATAGGAAATGAGCTGTCGTTGGAAAACCCTTTTTTTGCGCACAGAGCAGGCGCTTCCTCGATGCTGACGGCGTCCCGGCCGGGCTGCTGTGTGACTAAACCACCCTCCTCTCCGCTCTGTGCCAGCAGGTCCGGCCTCTGTTCCCCTGTGAGGAGCAGCCACGGCCCAGCAAGATGTCCCGGCACCACAGCCGCTTCGAACGAGATTACCGCGTGGGCTGGGACCGCCGAGAGTGGAGCGCCAACGGTACGCATGGGACCACCAGCATCTGCAGCGCCACCGCGGGGGCCGGTGGCGGCTCAGCCAGTAGCCTCAGCGCCCGGCCCGGCCTCTTGCCGCTGCCCGTGGTGCCGTCCCGGCTGCCCACGCCCGCCACCGCCCCGGCTCCCTGCACTACCGGCAGCGGTGAGGCCATCACCAGCCTCGTGGCCAGCTCTGCCTCCGCCGTCACCACCAAGGTAAGCCCGGCGTCCCCTCCGAGCAGGAGCCGAGCAGAGGGTAGTGGCTTCCCCTGAAGGTCTGTGCACCAGTCACCACCTTCTCCAGGGCATTGGCGTCCCTGGGGCTGGGCCGGCCGACGGTTCAAGTGAAAGCTCGCATGATTTTGTTTGCCGTAAAGTCTCTCTCTGTGACTAACTTGTAAGACAAGCAGGTGCTGAGGCCATTTGTTGTCTTATGCCATGTTGACAAAGTGCTTTTTAATTTGTGTAGGGACAGCGAACTCCAAGTTGGCAATAAAGATTCCCTAAATAGGTGACTTTAGACCATGCAAGTCCCCCCGCTCCGGGGGCACCAGTGACTTAGGTTTGCAAGAAGGTAGTCACCAGCAGTAAGGCATAAACAGTCATAAATCTACTACTTGGTAACTACTCTGCTGAGAATTCTCCTGTCCACCGTGCCTTCCAAGCCTCAGATAACCCTGTGGATCGCTACTTTTGTCCCCACCTGATGGTTGGGGATACTGAGATACACCAAGTCTGTGAGAGCTGGTCCGAGGCTGGACCTTCGTTGGGGCCCAGGCCTTGGGCCCCAGCAGTCAGCTTCAGGGGCATCATCTCCAGGCCATTCCCTCTCTTCTGGAGGTGGCTCCAGCCTTGGGAATGACCGCAGAAACCAGGCTGCATTACTGACTGAGACACTGAAATGAAAATGTCACCAAGTCTCATGCCTGGCTTCAGGCTGAGCTGGTCCCCCTCACGCTGCTCAGAGCCCCTCAGGTGCCAGGACCTTCCAGGGACCAGGACCTGCACCGGTGGCAGGAAGCCTGTTTATGGCCATCCTGCTTCCTCGGAGGATCAGGGGCTCTGCAGGCCGCCTTTGCCTCAGCCAGCCATTCACAGCCGCCTCCCAGGAGCCAGCGTGTGCGTGCGTGCGTGCGTGCGTGCGTGCGTGCATGTGTGTGTGTGTGTGTGTGTGCGTGTGTGTGTGTGTGTGTCTAGTGTTTTCTTCCCTGCTTTCATAAAAGTTGCGGGAGAAGTTAAAGGCGGGGGAGGCCCGGCGCAGCCATTGTGAGGTGGCCGTGGCGTTGGAAAGCTGCACTCCAGGTGTGCTGTGCCTTTGTCTCTGTGATTTTCAAAACTCCCTTTCAGCCCTGCTTCCCATTAATAACTGAGCGCTGCCGGCCCAGAGCCCAGCGGAGGCCCGAGACAATGGAGCTATTGGAGGCCAGCTCGGAGCACACTGACATCTTGCTGCAGTGCCTTATTGATTTTATTTTCCTGTTATGAAAACACCTCCCCACTGAGATGGGGAGGGAAGGAATGTTGGATGCAGGAGAGGAGATGGAGAGTTATTTGGGCACGACGCCCCCAGACCAGCCAAACGCATTCGTCCCCTGGGCACCAGCCCCCAGAACTTCCCCAATGCAGCGACCTCTGCCCGGTGGAGCCAGTCGGCTGCCCCGCCAGCCACATCTGGCGGCCACTCAGAAGGCCAGCTGTTGGCCATCTGGACAATGGCAGCTTCTGGAGCTGACCGCTGGGGGCTCCGGGTCGGGAGAGAGAAGCTGGACCTGGGAGCCCGCTTGACGATCTCTGCCCTCTCTGGATGGAGGCCTTTTTATGGGTGCTGTCAGGCTGCACCAGAGGCAGGGGGTTGGCCCTCCAGGCAAGGGAGCTGGAGGGGACTCAGTGGTGAGGGCCTCTCACACAGGGCTGCCCCGCCCACACAGCTCCTGCTTTGCTCCCAAACAGCTTGATATTCACCATCCCTGACTGGCAGGGCCCCAAACCACAGCACATGGGAGGAGAGGATCCCAGCCTCTGATGGAAAACAGCAACTGGGGGAGCTGGGGAGCATTGCAATGATAGGGGAGGGGGCCAAAATTTCCTGCCCGTGGGACAGCCGGCTCCTTGGCACATGTCCCCTCTGTTACCATCTCCAGCCCTGCTCCAGACCTGCAAGGGCTTGTCCAGTCAAACAAAGGTACCTGCCTACATCCGGGACTTTTCGAGATGCTCAGGAGAATGGGGTGTGCAGCAGAAATGGAAGACAGCAGCCAGTGGCAGCTTCTATCCAGAACGCTGTCACTGAATTTGGGCCATGGCGGTGCCTCTCTGCCATCTGGCCAAGCTGCTACCCGCCCCCCCAGACGCCCGTCTCCCTGCCTATTTGTCTAACCCCATGCCAGCACCACATCAACTGACAGGCAGGCCCAAACTGGGGTATCTGTGGTTTCCCTGGTCAGCAAGCTGCATCTTTACTGAGTAGCCAAGGGCTAGCACTTGCCCTCGGCAAACACATAGGTCAGGATATGACAAGTCTGTGGCCTGGACACTGTGACTGAGTGACCCGAGAATGTCTCTCCCATTGAGGTTATTGGCAGAGACAGCTTAGTGTTGTGGATAAAGACAGACTGGGGAGCCAGGGTGCCCAGGTTTGAATTCTGCCCTATCTCTTGTTAGCTGAGCAACCCTGAACGAGTTACTTAACTTCTCTGTGCCTTGCTCCTATAAAATGGGAACAGGTAGTGTTACCTGCCTGCCAGAGTTGTGAAGATCGTGTGAGTTAAAATACATATAAAGTGCTCAGAACAGAGCCGAGTGGTACGTGGTAAGTCTTGTATAGGGGTTGTTACCACAGCCGCCGTTGTCACTATCACCCAGGTAAAGCCTAGGGGACAAGGACATGCCCCTGGAAGGAAGAGGGATCATTTCTAACCTCACCAAAAGAAAAAAGTAGGTCTTCAGTTAAGAAACAGGAGGTAGGCCCCACACAGGCGGGGAAAGCACCTTGTGTTTCTGAGTGGTTACCGTTCACACCAATCTGTGACATGGAGGCATGACATGACCAAGGGGACACGGCAGCAAGAAGAGCTAGAGGGAGGACATCTAGTGGGCCCCAAACTAACCCTGAAGCTGGCATTGCCCGGTAAGCCTGACAGTGGAGTGAAGGGATTTTAAAGCTTTTTCAGCCATGGGACCCCTTCCTCCAAGGAAAGCCCGGTGTGTACCCAGGGCCAAGACCCTACTCTGGTGGAAGGTGGCTGAGGGAGGGGGCTGCGTGGAAGCCAGGCGCAGCGCCCTGTGTTCCTGCTGCCCTGGAGTGTGGTGATGGCTGCTTGAACATACCGGCATGCCTTCCTCAGTGAAGGGTCTGGCACCACGAGCGGGCCAGGGTCACACCCAAGGACTCAGGGAAAGGCCCCCAAGGTGACTCTCAGGGACAAGTGTCAGTGCTGCCAGGCCTTAGTGTCCCCCCAGGCTGGGCATGGAGCAGGTGTCACATCTCTCTGGGGGCTGTGGGCCACCACCGGCATCCGATGCCATCGCCACCGATGCAGAGACGGCCTGTCCCCTCTCTTGCCCCTAGTCCCGTGGGCCTGCTCACCCTCTCACTCTCAGTGCTAGGACTGTATCTTCCAGACCATGGGGGGGACCGTCCCAGCTCCCCAGGGTAGGGACAGCTAGCTGTGTGCCCTGGGGCTGGTTAGTGAGGTGATGACAATTCTTTCTGTCACCTCTGCCTTAGGCCTGAGTTGAGTTTTATGTTTCTTCGTTTTTCTGTGGCCTGAGGATTTCTAGCTGGTCTTTGATGAAAGGCCGGTTGGACAAGCACATATTCCGGGCCATTGAGGTAGGGGAGGGCATGACCAAATGACACGCACACAGACACACACACACACACACACACACACACACACACACACGCCCGCAAGTCCCCAGAGCCTCAGAGGAACGTAGTGACCGTGCCCTCCAGCCTCTCTGTTTTGCCTGTCAGAAGAATGAGGCTCAGAGAAAACAAGACTTGCCAAGGGCCCCCAGTGAGTGAGAAATGGACCACCTGGGCTGTCTCCTTTCCCCAGGCCGCCTGGCACAGCGCGTTCTCCATGGTAACCGTTACTGTGGCATTGTTACGGTAACTTTTCCCATCCCTCCATCCACCTCCTCGACAGCAGATACCAATGTGCAAGAAAATGGGCATATTTACTTTTTGGGTTAGGTAGGAAAATTTAGCCCGAAGATTTTGTCGACTCTCCATCGTACAGCTAGTGAGGGCTTCAAGCTGTCGAACCATGGCAGAACTGGGTTTGAATCTGACCTCTGCCTCTCAGGAGATGAGTATGTCTCTGAACCTCAGTTTCTTTGTCTATAAAATGGGAACAATCATAGGATCTTCCTCGCAAAGATGGTGTGGGGATTGGTTAAGTGATTTTGAAAAGCTAAATCAGAGATTGGGTCAGACAAGTATCCGTCCTATTCGGGTAAACCCGGCTCCCGGGCAGTTGGTGCTGGCAGGACCCTCTCTGGACCGTCCCCTCCCCCTGACTGTGGCGGCATGAGGTCACCGAGAGCTTGGACAGCCCTGTTCCTGGCCCACCGCTGCCACTCTGGACTGCAGGGCAGTCAAGCCCCCTGCGGCGGGGGCGGGAAGGCGGAGCTGAGAAGCTGGACCATGACTCCCGGGCCAGGCCTGTTCGTGGGGCAGAAAGGAAACTCCACTGTCCTGCAGTTGCTGCTGCATGAAATTTAAATTATTCTCAGCAAACCTGCCTGACAGATGAAACAGAAAAGGGACGGCTTCATAAAATGCAATTTCGTTCTTGAAAGAACGGACCTTGCAGAATCCTGGCTGATGCCTGTGAAATGTGTTGGGGGCTTTTTTTCCTTGTGGTCAGGAGCACTCGTGCTGAAACATTCCCATCGTTCCGTGGAGCTAAGCCCTTGAAAATAAATCTGGGCTGGGAAGAGAGAGACTTAGCCTGTGTCAGAGGCCTGAGGAAAACCGAAAGGGGCCGTGAGGTCTGTAGGCTCCATCCTCTGAGCGCCAAACACCCAGATTTTTTACATTTATGAGCCACCACTTTTAGGGTGGATATATGTCATCAGAGAGACAGCCCCGGCAACAGCGTCTTCCTCGTACCCTCTAAACTCTCTGGAGAGATGCCCTGCGTGGGGGAGATGATCTGGGATTTCTGTGGGGAATCATGTGAATGACCTCAAAGCCCTGCCTGGCGGGC